ACCCTCGGTGGCGGCCTTGGCCTCGGCCTCGACGGCGCGCGACAGGCCCAGCGTCAGCGACAGCTTGACGGCGCCCAGGGCCGCGTACCCCCAGAAGACGAGCCTGTAGGCCTCGCCCAGCTCCCAGCCGGCGCGGACCAGGGCGTGCGCCGCCCAGCCGCAGGCCATGATGCCAAAGGCGGTGCCGGCGGTCCCGAGCAGGCTGTACCAGGCGTAGACGTCGCTGCGCTGCTCGTGCGTCGTCAGGTGCGCGACGATGCTCTCCTCGACGGCGCGGAACGGCCCAATCTCGTTGCCGCTGGGGGAGATGACGCCGAAGACGGCGGCGGCCAGGAGCACCCAGTAGTTGCGGAAGAGGGCGAAGACGACGCCGCTGAGGGCCATGAGGGCGGCGCCCACGGCGAGCGTGGTCCTGCGCCCGACCCTGTCGGCGGTGAGGGTGAGGAGGAAGCTGATGGCGATGTCGCCGACGAGCGTGAGCGTCATGAACAGGCCCGACTGGGCGCGGTCGTGGCCCAGCGACTCGAGGTAGCTGACGAGGATGAGGGTGGAGGCGCCGTAGGCGAAGAGCCGCGTGAAGCGCTGCGCCATGAGGAGGTGGATGTCGGCGGCGCACGAGGCGAGCGTCGTGAGGCCCAGCTCGGCGAGTACGCGGGCCACGGGGCCGCGGCGGCGTGGTGGTGCCGGCTCTGACATTGTGGAAGGGGGGTTGATGGAGGTGGAAGATGTCTTGGTGGCGGGTGGTTGTTGCGTAGAGTCTCTTTTTAAGGGCCGGTTGACGTGCAAGTGAGGAAATGTGGAGTTGTGAGGCTGCTCGGAGCTATCCTTTCATGTCCGAGATATTTCCGCACCAGTCATTTGCCGGCTGCGACAACCGCAATGGCGGTCATGAATGTCTTTTCTCTTTACGGCTATGGGCTCGACATGGTGTTGGGAAAGGTATTGGCAACGTTGGGGATTTCAAGATGGCGACGGATGGGGAGCATTGCGAGTGTCTTGACATGGCCAGCGGTCATGGGGATGGAGTTGAAAGTAATTGGTCCGCTGTGGTCTGAGCTCATGCTGGGGACCAAGCGCTTATGGAAGTACAGTCTGCGGCAGAATATATTTGCCCACCAAGAGGCATACACTAATATGCTACAGTGTTTCAACGTACAAAACGCGATGGCCAGGTACCTGGTGCGGTCAAGTATTCTGCCTTTCACTGTCGGCTTCCCGCGGCCTCTGATGGCCGTCGTATAGGGTAGGAGCTTGACCAGTTGGCTTCGCATCCGCTTCGCGTCATGTCTGCGAGCTCTCTCCTGTTATTGGAACCTGCGTTTCCTTGACTCTGCCCATGCTGCTTCCAAGATCCAGGCTAGGCTTTTGCTGCCCGTCACTCACTCACGCCGCCGCGCGGGGCCCTCGTGAGACGCGTAGCAAGGAGGTGTTGCCTTCATCCACGGTTTTCTACAATGCCGCCTGATGAGACAGTCGAGTATGATTGGATTGACGGGGTCGAGCGACTTGAAATGTATGAGCCAGGCGGCTACCATCCAGTCGTGATCGGCGACGTCCTCCACGACCGCTACCAAATCGTCGACAAGCTGGGGTTTGGTGGCTACTCAACCATCTGGCTGGCCCAAGACCGTCGCCTCAAACGCCATGTCGCTATCAAAGTGGGAATATCCGGCCCATCTCTCCCTCAGCGCGAGTCCAAAATATTGCGCGACTTGTCCAACACAAGATTAAATCCGTCATCTGGTGCTACAGCATCGGCCATTGATGACAGCGGCGTCATACCCAGCATTTTGGACGACTTCGCCGTCCACGGGCCTAACGGGACACACAAGTGCCTTGCCGTGGCTCCTGCTCAGGGAAATATCAAAGAGGCGTCCTTCAGCCGTCTCTTCCCATCCAAGTAGCTCGGGCGTTGTCCATGGAGGTTGGTGCATTTGCATTTTCTTTCTCTACTGGATGGCTTAGCCAAGAGATGCTTACAGATATACATCTCAGGAATATTCTAGTAAAGCTTCCCGAGACTTTTGACGCTCTATCGCTTAACCGGTTCAAGGAAAAGTTTGGCGAGCCCGAAACGGTCCGTATTAGTCGTGCCGATGGGAAACCACTCTCGCCCAGCGTTCCACCCTACGCCGTGCTGCCCCTGTATCTCGGCGAAAATGCCCAAGATTTCACACTGGCTGATGCGCAGGGCCTTTTCCTCAGTGACTTTGGCGAGGCATTTGCGCCCGCGACAGAAATGCGCCTCGGCAAGGACTGCCATACACCGGTGGCCATGAGGGCGCCAGAGGCTCTTTTCGAGCCTGATGCACCGCTTTCCTACCCGTGGGATATATGGAGCCTCGGAACGGCCATATGGGAAATCCTGGGCATGAAGTTCATCTTCAGCGAGTCTGAGACGGACGATGAGATTGTGGCTCAGCAGATTGATGTTTTGGGTGACCGGCATTTTCCCGTAAGCTGGCGCGAGCAGTGGGAACGGGAGGTTGCAGAGGAAACACTACTTACGGATCATGGAGCTCCGCGCAAGCCTGCGGTTGATCGGGAGGCGCGGCCTCCTCTTGAGCAAGCGTTTGACGAATTTGTACAAAAGTATAGACGGAAACGGGAAGCGGCGGGGGTCTTCGGAGATGATGAGACCCGGGCAATTCTTGACTTGATGCGAGGTATGCTGCGGTTTTGTCCTGGGGAACGCTTGACGATAGGTGAAGTGCTCCAGTCCGAGTGGATGGTCAGGTGGGCGTTTCCTGAGCTGAAGTGAAGCCGTCATGAGGCGAAATTGCCTTTCTCTTCCGAGATGACTCTGCCTAGTGTCATAAGTTTACATTTCCTTGACCGGAGCGAGTATCTGTTTATGGCACGCAATACTGGAATTTCACATGTTGTATTACTACATACTTGCTTGTTAATAGACGAATATATACTGCTATAGGCTGTAGCTTGTTCTGTAGGCTCACCTGTGCATCATCAAGCCTGCCCGTGTTTCGTATCGACAAAACGCGTCTGCAGGCAAGATCAAACCGGCACATATAAGCTGCCCATTCGGGCCAGCTGCAAATAAGCTCATGCATGACGACCAATGGCCAGAGCCCAGTTTTCAGCACCAGCATCGAGTGCGGCTGAGGTATCAAGATTCCACTCAAGCTATGCCGAGCGAGGTTGCCTGGACCAGACGGCTTTTGTCTCGAATGAGCTGGCTCCCTGGAATCGGCCAGTTAATACGTCTCTCAACGTCAGTTTAGCGACGCCCGGTCCCCATAGTCTGAGGTTCATCTGCCCTTACATGAGGGAAGCGCTCCACCGAGCTGAAGAGGCTTCATCACAACAAAGTCTGGCTTGCTGACAACAGAGCCGCATCTTGCACAACCATCAAACTTGCGCTTCCGGAGGGCTCCACTGAACAAGTCCAAGTACTCCGTAATCTGTGCTACCGGAAGTCGGCTCAGTCGAAACTAGACGACAGCCAATATGTAATAGCAACATGGTGCCCGAATAGCTGGTCCACGCCCGACCCGAATCGAGCACGTGTTGAAGCAAACACAAAATACGATCGTGGATTCATCACAAATGTCCGGCCAAAGCAGCCCCGGTGTGGCGTAATTTCCCCTTCGCTTTTCCGCATAGTCTTGTGCAGATCATTTCAGGGCAGGCAGACAAACTCCAGCAAGACTCTGGCCTGAGCATCCCCAGCGCCATTCAAAGGCAGAAGGCGAGGTACAATGCGCCAAGGCGTCAAACGTTTGCCAGAGTTTGCCAGCACCATCTTTCCCTCAGCAAAGCCATTGTCCAAAAAAGGGGACGCCTCTACGCCAAATCACAATTAGTCCGGATGTCCAAAAGCCCCCTTGGTGACCCTCCATCAATGAAGTGCCCCTGCCTTCGGGGTAAGGCTGACCCGGCAGTCGCCAGGTTTCGATTGCCTGTCTGGAACAGGGCAGACTGGCCGTCGGGACTGAGACAGAGCCGCACAGCTGAGAGAGAGACGAGTGGTATCGAAGTCGGATAGAAATCATCGAACATATCATGTACTCCGTATAGCATACGGATGTATAATGCCCACCTGCTCAACGTGGCTGTCAAATATGGCATGTCAGCCAAAACCTGCCCATGGAGATCCCTTGAGCGAGTAGCATCTGCTTTCATAGTCTCGAGACCAATTTCCACTGCTTCGCCACGGGGAAGAAGCAATGGCAGCTCTGCAAGCACAGAACCTTTCCGAACAAAGCGGTAGTCAGGAATGATCCTTGAGCAGAGCCCCGGTATAGACTACGGCTGGACAACCCGGCGTCGAGCTAGGCTTCTCATGGCTTGCACCACAGTATCGCCAACGGAGCACGCTGGCTAGTTGCGTTTCCTGCTTCCATGGTCATGTCCGGGGTAAAGACACGCCCTGTGTCTATGTAGCTTGTGACGATGGTTGTTCGACTTACACGCTCTGTTGGGGGGGTGGCCTCGCAAAGGACAAGCTGGGGTTGTGCAGGTCATGGCTCATGCTTCGCAGATGTAAACATCCACAGCCAGGCTGATCCTTTTTCTTCTTCTGGGAGTAGACCCTGAGCTGGAACGCCCCGTGTATTTGGCAGTTTGCATGTAGAATGACAACTCTGAGGGTGTATCGAGACACCACCACGTCTCGTCAAGAGGAACACCACGCCCCTTCATTGCCAACCCCATCTAGAAATCTCTGCTTCGGACCCCCGAGCCAAGTATCCGGTACTCCATAGCCTGTATAGCACAGAAGAGGCGGACGCCGTGGTGTTGAGCTGCTCCAAACCCGGACCCCTATATAAGATGGTCCGTCTTCCCCCCATCGCCGTCGACAGCTTCTCCTTTCCTGCCCCCCCCCCCCCTACTCATATAATACCCACTCCTCT